TGTTAGAAATGCGGCAGCTGAGGTATTGGGCTATAGTCAGCATCTCAGTTGAAAAAACAACACAGACAGATGACAGAGAACAGAGAACAGAAGAAAGAAGATGGAATTCTCCATTGCTTTTGTCTTCATTTCCTTCAACACACTTATGAGCTCTGCAGATTAGTTTTGTCCATGTTCTTAATCACTATTATCAAAGATAAATCCTTTCCGAACTGTCAAATTTTACCTATAGTAACTTAATGTTTACTATAGCGAAACTATTTGAAGTTCTCCTCACTCTTTCCCTTTGGCAACATTCAGCCTTTTTTCATTTATTCATCAAATGTCGATTAAGCTATAAGTGCAATCACCATTTCTGCAACCCCAAGGCAACCCAGCAAAGGGTGTAACCATGCAGATAGGGAGTTCCTCTGAAGGAACTGCATCCCTTTATTTCCTGTTCTTTTAGCCAGTTTCCTAGTTTGTTTTCTGATGATGTGATAAAAGACTGTGACCAGCTGGGTGTGGTGGTGCACATCTTTAATCCCAGCACTTGGGAGGCAGAGGCAGGGGAATTTCTGTGAGTTCAAGGCCAGCCAGGTCTACGTAGTGAATTCCAAGCCAGCTGGGGCTACAGGAATACCCTGTCTCAAAAAAAAGAGCAAAAACAACTTGGGGAGGAAACTGTTTGTTTCATCTTACACATCCAGGTCACAGTTCATCATTAAGGAAAGTCAGGGCAGGAACTCAAGCAGGAGCAGAGGCAGGAACCATGGAGGAATCCTGCTCACTGGCTCACCCCTTAGCTTCTGCTCTGCTCCTTTCTTATACAGCCCAGAACTCTCTTCCTAGGGATGGTACTGCCTACAGTGGGCTGGGTTCTCCTCTATCAGTTAGCAATCAAGAAAATGTCCCTTAACATGCCCACTGGCCAACCTGATCAAGGAAATTCCTTAATTGAGACTCCCTCAGATAACTCTAGGCTCTATCAATTTACAAATGAAGCTAACTAGGAGGTCCTGCTTCCTAATCTTCCTGAATTTGACTATGGATTGATTCACAAACAAATTAAAAGAATAGTTTCTAGGATGATCCATAGCAAGTATCAGGTCAAAGCCAGGTCAAAGCCCACAAGGGGCTGGGGATGAAGCCCAGCTGGTGAAGTCCTTACCTAGCATATACGAAGCCATGGATTTAATCCCAAACACCATATGAACTGAGCAAGATGGCACATACCTTAGAAGTTTGAGTTAGGAGAATCAGAAATTCAAGGTCTTTCTTGGTACATAGTGAGTTTGAAACCAGTCTGAGTTACATGAGACACTGTCTCAAAAAGAAGAAGAGGAGGAGGAAGAGGAAGAAGAGGAAGAGGAGAGGGAGGGACAGGAAGGTAAAAGGGGAGAGAGACAGAGAAAGGAAGGAAGGAAGGCCTGCAGTAAGAGACATTCGAGCTAGAGATCATAGAACTCAAAAGAGCTCAAGTGGTTACTGAGTGCTCATTGATTTATACATAAAGGCACATTTTAATTTTTGCATGGCATAATTTAGGAGACATACATATCCATATAATTGGTATCTATCTTGTTGAGCTGTGTGATTGACCCACATTCTACTTTAGGGACCCCTGAAAGTTAGTATTACAGGTGACCTCTAGGTGTAACATCACTATGGGTGATAAGACAGCTACCCAAGAGCATTTATTTTAGCTCACGTTTTGCAACCCTGTCTTCTTATTGGTATTATGCTGATATTCCTGGATCATACATTTTCCCTCATCAATATCTTAATCTTTTATAACAAAATAAGGCATCCTCTGCAAAAACCCACTAAAATGTATTATTCATGCCCACATTAGCTCTAAAGAAGTTACCTTGGTTTCAAAAATTATTTTCAGTTACAATTCCATTTTATCATAGCTTCGTGAAAACTTGTGCTGGGGCTGGGAAATTAGCAAAGATGGGATGGGGTAAAGTAAGATGACAGTGACCGCTTTTCAATGGAGGATGCTGGTGATTTAAAAAAAGACAATATTAGGTTTGTGGTTTTCAGCAAGGTGGCACTCTAGGCCCAGAGCAGCAGCATCCAGCAGGTCTGATTGCAACAGCTGGTTCCTTTCTCTGCTGGTCCTCAGCCTCCCATTCATTGTGACCTTCATGGTTCTTCACAATATTCCCATCCCTAGCACTGGCCTTTCTTGTTAGTTATCCAAGTGAATCTCTCCCTTTATAGTTTGTCCCTATTTTCTTTTACCTAAAATACCTTTCCATTAACCACCTTCTTCCATGTCCTCCCTGGCTTCTTTTTACTTCTGCAGTTTATTATTATGAGCCACTTAGGACACCCTTTTTTCTGTGATATTTGGCTACCTGTTAAACTGGTAAGGGAATTTTTTAGGGTCTGATGTTGTGGTCAACATGCACACCTATCCAACTATCTTCTTGAATCATGTTAAAGACGAATCCAAACCAGAGCATGATAGAATGTGGGCTTCTCTCCTTGGGGTGGTAAAGCTTGTAGAACTGCTTACTTAATTTCTTTGTGTGTGTGTGTGTGTGTACACATGATACATGCATGTGTGTACATGTGTCTTTGCATATGGCTTGCTTGTGTGTGCACATGTGCATGCATGTGTGCATATGTATGTATGTGTGTTTCTGTGTAGGCCATAAGCTTATGTTGTGTCCTCCTCTGCTGCTCCCATCTCTGTACAGCACAGATGACTTTTTCATGGGTCCTGGGGATTCAAACTTAAGTCTAATGTTTATGTAGGAAACATTCTATCTCCCTAGGCTGGCTTGCTAAATTTATCCAGAATTGCTTTGCTGTCTTCTCTATTTTCATTATTCCTTAATATGAGTGTTTAGTTTTACATCTCTGTCTTTTGAGCTTTCTTGCTTTTGTTCCTAACATAAAAATAAAACTTGCTCATTAAATTATAGTGATACTGTACACTCATGGTACAAAAGAATTCAAGAAATACAAAAGGTATAATGAAAAATCCCCTTTCACTTTTCCCAGGCCCCTAGTCCCACTTTCAGTAGGGAATTAAATTCTGCTAACCAACCCAGAGTGCCATTTTGAGTGTGTGTGTGTGTGTGTGTGTGTGTGGCCTGCATGTGTGTAAGTGCACCTGTGTCGTGCAGTGCCCAAGGAGGTCCGAAGAGGGTATCAGATCCCCTGGAACTGGATTCTGAAATATTCTTATATTTTTCACACTAGGTTTAGCATCTTATAATGTGCTTATTTCTGTATTTGTTGAGTTTTCTTATGACTATATGATTCTTTCTCATCAGACACTTATTTCTGTAGAGCACATCCTATATACCAGGGTGAGGAACATTCAGATTCAGAGCCTGGACTGTCCTGCTTTTGTCCAGCTTATATCCCTTCATCTTTTTTTCCCCTAGAATTAATCCTTGTCTTACTTTTCTTAATCTTTCACCTTTGACTCATTGTTATGGTAATTACATGTAGAATGTTTAATAACTCTTGATTTTCTGTCACATAGCACATTAGTCACTTTTTTTGCAGTTTTCAATAAAATTGGAATTTATATATATATTCTTGGAGAGTTTGAGGGGGATTATATCTTTATTATAGTTGTCTTTATGTTTAGTTTCAATATAAATCAGAGGCTAATGACGTGTACTTGTTGTTTGTCACTACTGAGACAGAATACCTACCATAAACATTTTAAGGGAGGAACTGATTGCGTCCTTCCCAGTAAGGAAGGCAGAGCAGCAGGACTAACTTCTCTGTGGCAACAGGAGGCTGCAGGCTCACATCTCAGCAGAGTAGGAAGCAGAGGGGGAATGCCAGAACTCTGCTGATTTTCTTTCTATTCAGTCTTGGACTTCAGCCTGTGGGATGGAGCTGCCCACATTCAGGGTACATCTTCCCAGTCAGTTAATCTTCTCTGGAAATTGTCTTGAAGATACACACAAGTGCTTTGCCAATGCCCTCCCTGTTTTTTAGTCCAATCAAGTTGACAACTGTTACAACATGCTTGCATTTTTATTTTGAGAAGTCAAAAGCATAGCACTTTGGTACTCTAATTGAACATCACTTTTACCAATGCTGATGTGTTACTAACAACGATAGTAAATGATTATTAAAACCTGTATTTGAGGTCCAGCAAGATGACTCAGCAGATAAAAGTGCTTTTGTCACCAACCTTGACAACCAAAGTTTGATCTTCAGGACCCACATGGTGGAAGGAGAGAACTGACTCATACAAGTTGTTCACTGACTTCCATACATACACAAGCTGTGGCATTTGTACACACACACATACACACACACACACACACACACACACTCATGCACACAAATAAAAGTAACAAAATCAAAAACTTTAAAAAACTGTATTTGAGGCATATATACTTCAGCTTGCACAAATGAGAACAGATGATTTCCTCTGTGATGACTCCCCTTTTGCATGATTCACCTCTTTCAAGTACTGAGCCATCAATCCTCTTGCACTTCTGCAAACATTGTCTTCCTATGTCTTTATTACTTTCTCTTTTGAATCCTCTGTTTCACTGGGCTGTCTCTGTACAACATAAACAATGACTGTTTGGGGAGTAACTAACTGCTTTCTGATCGGATTTGAAGCTTCTTCCATGGGAGGGAATATATTCCTGGTACTGAAAATCTGGTCAAAAGCCCATGGCTGGGGAAGTCACAGGCTCTGAGGAGTAAATCTATTACTGTTGTTTTCTAATTGTAATATCATTAGACTGCCTTCTAAGTATTTATACTTATACCTGTAGACTAGCTCTGCTCTCAACCTTGGTCAGAGAAACGTCTTTTTGCAGTGGGCAATGATTAACGCAGAACTCATAACTGTTCAAAATGTTGAGACTATGTGACTGTTGAGTGCTTAGCCCTAGATGGGACATCTGTATCAACCCCTCTGAGGCCCAGGGAGTATCATGGAAGAGAGGTAGGAAGACTGTAAGAGGCAGAGCATGAGGAGAGCTATATGAAATGCTGTCTTCTGGATATGACACAGCCATTGCAATCATGAGCACATAGCAGCTGTGGTTACCTACACACGGCCTGAAAAGAGAAAGAAAACATATATTTGGGACTGAAATACCTCCAAATTTGTTTTTCTGAGAGTTGTGCCTTGGACTAATGATTTGACTCTTTCTTCACTTGAACTTCTTCCCAGGCCATCCTGTAACCCAGAGCTGCTACATTTGACTAGTACAAACTGTCACATTCCACATAGGAACATGCTCCTCTACTGTCTACTTGTGCTTATTGGAGGAAATGACCCAGGGTAGGCAGGTGGCTTCTGGGGAAGGGATTACTTTGAACTGATGACACCATGACTAAATCTGTCCTGCCTCTTATCCTTTTTTCTTTAACCTTTACTGACAGATTATATTTTTCAGAATGCTAAATTTTCTGGTTTTCAAGGACATTGTGATATGCTGCCTCAGTCTGAATTCCACCTATCCTCTAACTGGGATCAAAGTCACTTGGCATAAACATTCTTACTCCTCTTGAATACCTCTACCTTCTCTCTCCACCCTATCTCTGAGCAAGAAGTGCATCCCTAAGTAGGAACCTGGGTGTCAGGTGGAAGGAGCAGACGGCACAAAGAGCATAAGAAATAGAAATGTAGAAAAATACAGTGATATGGAGGCAATTATGGAGAACTAGCCAGAAAAGGGTAGTCAAAAGGTAGGAAGGAGACCAGGCAGCAGGGGCAAGCAGATGGCTAATGAGTTCAAGGTCAGCCTGGTCCACTTTGTGAGTTCCAAGCCAGCTGGGGCTACAGAGAGACCCTGTCTCAAAAAGATAAAAGAAAAAGAAGGTAAGAAGGAATTCTGAGAGTAGGAGACAGCATAATTGAAGAAAGGTTTCTGCCATAGGGAGAACTGGTGTTTGTAAATTGATGGAAAGTTTCCACTAGAGAAGTCATGATTAATAGAGCGAGTCAAAGAACAAGCAGCAGAATTCAGTTCATCCCATATTATGTTAAGTCTTGTTCTCGGAAGCTTCTTTATTCTTCTTTATATATGCCAACAGCCCAAAGACCACACATTGAATAGCAATATGTTCAATAAATATTCACTTGATCAAATTTTCACTTACAATAGAAGATTGAACAAGTCAAGTTATGAATCCCAGTATCACTTAAACTTTTCATAAAAATTTTTTTTTGTGTAAAGGAAACTCCCTACTACCATCTTGTATATAAAAGTGAGACAGAGAAGGGTGGAGCCCTTACCATTGCTTTTTATGTGGAGCTTACAAAGTACCACATTGACAGATTCCTCAGGACACAGAGTTTGTTGGCCATTGAGGGCTTGAACAGCCTGCAAAGACGAATTGAATCAGAGTTCAACTTTTCTGGAAGTAACTGCTTTCTATAGCATTTTTGCCCCAATGTGCTAGGATTTGGGGATGTGTTAATGTAAATTTTGGTATCCAATCTGCTTAAGTTGCTAAAAATAAATAAATAGAAAAAGGCTTCATGTTAGCTCTAGGTAATAAAACTTAGAAATCAACTATAAAATCTGAAATCTGATTTCATATAGCATCTACGAATCTGTTTAACATGTTAGGTAACAAAACAGCCAAAGAGCCCCTTGGAGAAGACACTGCAGTTGGCATTGCCATAAGAAACCTGAAAAGAATATAACTCTCAATTTAAAGTTGGTTATTTTTGTATATTAGGGATACATAAAAGTATGATTAGGGATCCAGAGAGATGGCTCAGTGTATAATGGCAACCTGCAGCTAAGTCCTGCAATTTGAGCTTCATCCCTGGAACCCAGGGATTAAAGCAGGGAACCGACGCCTGAAGTTTGCCCCCTGGTTTCCACATACACATCATGGCACATGCATGTACACACACACAGACACACAAACACACACACACACAAATAGATGATAGACAGATAGATAGATAGATGATAGATACATAAATGCAAAAAAGAAAAGTATGACTAGAACTCAAACAAAATCCCAGGTTTCCTCAGGCTTTGCCTTTGGCACCTCTGCTTCACTGTACCCTTCTATAGGATGATAGATGGGCAAGACAGATATCTCTATCTCTATCTCTATCTTTCATTTTATCTATCATCTATCTCTCATTTATCTATCATCTATCTATCATCTCTCTTATCTGTCTATCATCTATCTATCTATCTATCATCTATCATCTATCATCTATCATCTATCTATCTATCTTCATCATCATCTATCTATCTTCATCATCATCTATCTATCTATCTATCTATCTATCTATCTATCTATCTATCTATCT